GTTGTATAGGTATATTTATGTTGTGCCCTGCTCTGTGTGTTGTATAGGTATATTTATGTTGTGCCCAGCTCTGTGTGTTGTATAGGTATATTTATGTTGTACCCAGCTCTGTGTGTTGTATAGGTATATTTATGTTGTGCCCAGCTCTGTGTGTTGTATAGGTATCTTTATGTTGTGCCCAGCTCTGTGTGTTGTATAGGTATCTTTGTGTTGTGCCCAGCTCTGTGTGTTGTATAGGTATATTTATGTTGTGCCCAGCTCTGTGTGTTGTATAGGTATATTTATGTTGTGCCCAGCTCTGTGTGTTGTATAGGTATATTTATGTTGTACCCAGCTCTGTGTGTTGTATAGGTATCTTTATGTTGTGCCCAGCTCTGTGTGTTGTATAGGTATCTTTGTGTTGTACCCAGCTCTGTGTGTTGTATAGGTATATTCATGTTGTACCCAGCTCTGTGTGTTGTATAGGTATATTTATGTTGTGCCCAGCTCTGTGTGTTGTATAGGTATATTTATGTTGTGCCCAGCTCTGTGTGTTGTATAGGTATATTTATGTTGTGCCCAGCTCTGTGTGTTGTATAGGTATATTTATGTTGTACCCAGCTCTGTGTGTTGTATAGGTATATTTGTGTTGTACCCAGCTCTGTGTGTTGTATAGGTATATTTGTGTTGTGCCCAGCTCTGTGTGTTGTATAGGTATATTTGTGTTGTGCCCAGCTCTGTGTGTTGTATAGGTATATTTATGTTGTGCCCAGCTCTGTTTGTTGTATAGGTATATTTATGTTGTGCCCAGCTCTGTTTGTTGTATAGGTATCTTTGTGTTGTGCCCAGCTCTGTGTGTTGTATAGGTATATTTGTGTTGTGCCCAGCTCTGTGTGTTGTATAGGTATATTTATGTTGTGCCCAGCTCTGTGTGTTGTATAGGTATATTTATGTTGTGCCCAGCTCTGTGTGTTGTATATGTATATTTGTGTTGTACCCAGCTCTGTGTGTTGTATAGGTATATTTGTGTTGTGCCCAGCTCTGTGTGCAGGGCCATCTATAATATGATTAGGACCCTGGGCAATGCATTTTCTTGGGCCCCATGGGCCCTGTCCCTGCCACTGCCTCACCCCCCAATTACGCCCAACCCGCAATCACACTGACAGACGTACTGGCACATAGACACACATTAAAACATTCACAGATACATACTGACACACACAGTCACTACACACAAATATATACTGGCAGACATACTGACACACACACAGACATACATACAGAGATACATACATTAACAGATATACTGACACACACACAAACACATACACTGACAGATATACTAAAACACACAGACACATACACTGACAGACACATTGACACACACACAGGCATACTGACATACACACTGACACACACACACAGGCATACTGACATATACACAGACAGACGTAATGGCTGATACAGACAGACATTAAAACATTCACAGATATATATTGACACACACATACACTGACATACAAATATATCCTGGCAGAAATACTGACACACAGACATACATACATACACACACAGACACATACACTGACAGACATACTGACTGACACACACATACACACACAGACATACTTACTTACATACACACACAGACATACTGACACACACACACAGACATACTGACACACACACACAGACATACTGACATACACACAGACAGACGTACTGGCACATACACACAGACAGACATTAAAACATTCACAGATACATACCGACACACACATACACTGACACACAAATATATCCTGGCAGACATACTGACACACACGTAAACACACACACACACACTGACATACACACACAGACATACTGGCATACACACAGACATACTGGCATACACACACAGACATACTGACACACACACACAGACATACTGGCATACACACAGACATACTGACACACACACACAGACATACTGACACACACACACACACACAGACATACTGGCATACACACAGACATACTGACACACACACACAGGCATACACACACTGACACACACACAGACCTACTGACATACATTTAGCCACCCTCCAGGTTCTTACCTTTTCCTGGAGGGTGGTTTCCCTGGTCCAGTGGCAGGCTGAGGCAGATGGGAGTTCTCTTCTGGAACTCCCCTCATCCCTGCCTTCCTCCTCCCGCGCGGCTATCTCCGGTGGGAGGAAGTGACGTCACTTCCTCCCAGCCGGCTGCAGAACCGGAAGAGGGGCCCGGTCGCGCTGTTTAAGCGCCACAGCGCCCGACCGGGCCCCTGCTGACACATGCTCCCCGGGTGGCCCTTAGTGCATGGGCCACCCGGGGAGCCTCCTCAGTGTGCGGGAGCCGCACCGTAGGGGCTGCGCAAATCGCGGGGCCCACAGAGCAGCTGCTCTGGGCCCCCAGGAGCAACTGGGCCCGGGGCAGCTGCCCCGTTTGCCCCGCGTTAAAGACGGCCCTGTCTGTGTGTTGTATAGGTATATTTATGTTGTGCCCAGCTCTGTGTGTTGTATAGGTATATTTATGTTGTGCCCAGCTCTGTTTGTTGTATAGGTATCTTTGTGTTGTGCCCAGCTCTGTGTGTTGTATGGGTATATTTATGTTGTGCCCAGCTCTGTGTGTTGTATAGGTATCTTTGTGTTGTGCCCAGCTCTGTGTGTTGTATAGGTATATTTATGTTGTGCCCAGCTCTGTGTGTTGTATAGGTATATTTGTGTTGTGCCCAGGTCTGTGTGTTGTATAGGTATATTTATGTTGTACCCAGCTCTGTGTGTTGTATAGGTATATTTATGTTGTGCCCAGCTCTGTGTGTTGTATAGGTATATTTGTGTTGTGCCCAGCTCTGTGTGTTGTATAGGTATATTTATGTTGTAACCAGCTCTGTGTGTTGTATAGGTATATTTATGTTGTGCCCAGCTCTGTGTGTTGTATAGGTATATTTATGTTGTGCCCAGCTCTGTGTGTTGTATAGGTATATTTGTGTTGTGCCCAGCTCTGTGTGTTGTATAGGTATATTTATGTTGTAACCAGCTCTGTGTGTTGTATAGGTATATTTATGTTGTGCCCAGCTCTGTGTGTTGTATAGGTATATTTGTGTTGTGCCCAGGTCTGTGTGTTGTATAGGTATATTTATGTTGTACCCAGCTCTGTGTGTTGTATAGGTATATTTATGTTGTGCCCAGCTCTGTGTGTTGTATAGGTATATTTGTGTTGTGCCCAGCTCTGTGTGTTGTATAGGTATATTTGTGTTGTGCCCAGCTCTGTGTGTTGTATAGGTATCTTTGTGTTGTGCCCAGCTCTGTGTGTTGTATAGGTATATTTATGTTGTGCCCAGCTTTGTGTGTTGTATAGGTATATTTATGTTGTACCCAGCTCTGTGTGTTATATAGGTATATTTATGTTGTGCCCAGCTCTGTGTGTTGTATAGGTATATTTATGTTGTACCCAGCTCTGTGTGTTGTATAGGTATATTTATGTTGTACCCAGCTCTGTGTGTTGTATAGGTATATTTATGTTGTACCCATCTCTGTGTGTTGTATAGGTATATTTATGTTGTACCCAGCTCTGTGTGTTGTATAGGTATATTTATGTTGTACCCATAGGCGTGCGCAGCCTATTGCATTAGGGTGTGCACCCTAAAGCACAAGCACACGCCGCATATATATATGTATGTATGTATATATATATTTGTATATATATATATACATACACATATATACACACATACACACACTGCTGTGTGTGTGTGTGTGTGTGTGTGTGTGCTGTGTGAGGGTGCTGTTAGTGTGATGTGTGTGTGACGATGCTGGTAGTGTGCTATGTGGGTGAGGGTGTTTGTGTGTGCGTGCTTGTGAGGGTGCTGTTAAAGTACTGTGTGTGAGGTGCTGTTTGTGTGTGAGGGTACTGGTAGTGTGCTGTGTGTGTGTTTGTTAGGGTCCTGTTTGTGTTTGTGAGGGTACTGTTAGTGTGTTGTGTGTGTGTGAGGGTGCTGTTTGTGTGCTGTGTGTGAGGGTGCTGTGTGTGTTTGTGAGGGTGCTGTATGTGTGTGTGCTCTATGTGTGTTGGTGCTGTGTATGTCTGTGGGTGCTGTATGTGTGTGGGTGCTATGTATGTCTGTGGGTGCTGTGTCTGTGGATGCTGTATGTGTGTGGGTGCTGTGTATGTGTGTGGGTGATGTGTATGGGTGCTGTATGTGTGTGGGTGCTGTATGTGTGTGGGTGCTGTGTATGTCTGTGGGTGCTGTGTATGTCTGTGGGTGCTGTATGTCTGTGGGTGCTGAATGTGTGTGGGTGATGAATGTGTGTGGGTGCTGTATGTCTGTGGGTGCTGTATGTCTGTGGGTGCTGTATGTCTGTGGGTTCTGTGTATGTCTGCGGGTGCTGTATGTCTGCGGGTGCTGTATGTCTGTGGGTGCTGTGTATGTCTGTGGGCAGGGCCGCCATCAGGGCATGACAACCGTAACGGTTGTCATGGGCCCGGCGGTCCTGGGGGGCCCGGACTGCTCAGGTCGTCCGGGCCCCACATTCAGTGGGTACATACCGGGTCGCAGGGGGCCCTGCGACCCCGGTATGTACCCACAGGACCAGCCTCTTCTCCTGGGGGGCCCCCAGAGGCTGGCCCTGCAGACACCCGGCGGGCGGTCCGGCGCGCGAGGGAGCACTCTCTGTGTGCTTCCTCTTCAGCTCCCTCGCGCACCGTACTGATGCCGGAGCCGGAAGATGACGTCATCTTCCGGCTCCGGCATCAGTACGCGGCGCGCGAGGGAGCTGAAGAGGAAGCACTCAGAAAGTGCTCCCTCGCGCGCCGGCCTGCCCGCCCGCCGCCAGTGTCAGGGGGGGTAGGAGGAATGAAATTCGAGGGAGTGGGGGTTAGGAATGAAATGGGAGGG